GTCCCACTCCAACACTCTACCCACACACCACACTAGCAATTGTGTGCGTTTATACGACAGATGTTCAAATGGAGTTTTGCAGGTTAAGGATATAAACTGCCTTCATTAGAAAAACTGTCAAGTCAAATCAAATCTGGCCAAATTACACTTTAGAAATATGGTACACAGCACAATTGTGTGTGTGTGTGTGTGTGTGTGTGTGTGTGTGTGTGTTTACTGCAAAGTAAGTTGCATTATGTTTAGGAAAAAGAACCTTACACCCCATTAAAAGGGCACATTAGAATTTATGAGGTTCACTAAAATGCTTTTAGCAGAAACTACTGCAAGAAGATAACAACTGTGAGTGCTGGACTAATATCTGATCTATTTCTTCACCCCTGTACCATCTCCAGCACTGACAACAATAGCTTCTCAGTGTTCCTTCAGGCCTCAAAGATGCACAAGTAGTACTGTGAACCATCTTTCACCAGACAGAAAAAAACAGCTGTACATTTCCACAATCCAAATAAGTTATGAGTTTTGAATGAGTTATGAGAATAAGTTATGAGCTTTGAAAGTTAAGCAAGTGGTTTAATTAAAAAGGTACTGAACGAATAAACTAATCAAGCATGTTATAGCGAGAGTGATAAGAATGATGAATTCAGAACAGTGAGCTGCAAAAATTGTCCCTTCTCCTCTTCCCACCCAACCACAAGAGTCAGCAACAGGCTGAAGTGAGTCCCCTCATTTTATGATGTTGAGGGAAAACAAGACTGCCAAGAATAGAGTGACAGTCTCATTACTCAGTGCAACTGAATATGCACCTCTTGTCAAGAGAAGCCCTTTTCTAGGGAACAGACTGTAAAGCCCTAGACATTATGCAATGAATATCTGTAGAAAGGAGTACAGGTTCTACCTTTCTGCTATACCAAACAGCTGGATAACATTTTGTATAGGTTAAGTATGCAGATCATAACCAGACATGGAAGTGCTCCATATGCTTATAGCAAGGGTGGACAACTTCTGGCTCTCCTTAAGTTTTGACCTGCAACTCCTAGCACTCCATATTATTGACTGTGCTGGTCACAGATGGTAGGAGTTGTGAAGTTTTGACCTACAAGTTACCCATCCCTTGGTTAATGGTTTAGGTATTGAAATTTTGCAGCTTAATCAAGACACCAATTTGCTAGGCTAGCTAAGGCCACCCCTAGCTACAGCTCTATAAAATCAGTGGCAGACATGTTTTAAGCAATAAATCAGCAAGAGCCAGGCAGGTCCACAAAACAAACTCTTGTTACTTGTAACGTATGTTCTGTATGCCGAAAACTAGGCCAATCCTTTTCCTTATTGGCTTACAAGATATAAAAGTCTGAGCTTTGGGGGAAGCATGAAGATGAGTAGAAACAGCATTGCTTTCTCCAAGATTCAAGCTTTCTCTCATGAGCCCAGAAAACCTGACTAAGAAATTGCAAAGTGGTCACAGTTCTGTTTTGGTGCGGAGGGACTGGCATTAGGAAGGTCCCAAGTTCAATCACTGGCAATCTCCAAGTAAAACAATCAAGGAGCAGGTGCTACAAAATACTTATTTCAGGCACAGCAGACCAGCATTCTTCCATCTAAGGTAAAGGTAAATGTTTTCCCTTGATGCTACATCCAGTCATGCCTGACTCTAGGGGGCGATGCTCATCTCTGTTTCCTAGCCGAGGGAGCCAGCATTTGTCTGCAGACAGTCTCCGTGCTCATGTGGCCGGCATGACTAAACACCGAAGTGCACGGAATGCTGTTACCTGCCCACCGAAGTGGTACCTTTTTATCTACTTGCATTTGCATGCTTTCAAACTGCAAAGTTGGCAGGAGCTGGGACGGAGCAACGGGAACTCACCCCGTTGTGCAGATTCGAACCGGCAACCTTTCGATCAACCAGCCCAGCAGCACAGCGGTTTAAACCACTGCGCCACCTGCAGTTCCATCTAGTGCCCTTCTCCCATCTAGTGCCCTCCAGATGTTTTGAACTTTAACTCCCACATTGACCTACCCCATTTCTTTGTCCCTAACAACCATGCCATTAGGCTGAAAGATGGTAAATGGTCTAAGGTATCTTATTGCAGAAGTCAAGTCAGAAGTAAGTTCCATTGAGTTAAATGGGATTATTCTTTGGTAAGAAGATACACAATAATGCATTAGTAATTTTTGTAACCAAGTGGAAATTTGAATCTGGATATCCATGGTTTAAGGCCAACACTCTTGCCACAACATCTTTCTGATTTTTCCTTATACTTCTTGCAAAGATAACATTGTACCTTAAGTTATTCACATCAAACCCAACCCTGCGAAAGGGTTCTGTCTACAGTAAGGGATATTAGGGTTTAACTGATACCCTTATAGTCACTATTGTTACACTACTTAAGCCAAAACTCCATTATAGTACCAACTCAAATGTTTCATATTTCATACATACTGTAATGTTTGAATTGACCCAAGTATTTGACTGTCTTGATGATAAAACAAAAAAAGACAGACAGAAACTGGCCATTCTGGGGATAGTCAGGCATTAAAGTAATGCTGACCTGTAAAACAAAGCAGGTAAAGTGCAATTCAGGAAGCAGGTGACGCTTGAAGTTATCAACATAAGGTTCCTTAAACACAAACTTTTACTTAAGGTATTTATAATAATTCGATAAGCATTTTAAGAAGTATACCTGAGCAAAATATTTAACAATCAGAGAGAACATACCAAGGTACACCCAGTAATAAGAAACATGTCCAAAACATGATAACTTAGAGAGGAAAAAGTCTCCAACTAAGATAAAAACAAAGAGGAACAGGTATGTGCTAAGGAGTAATGCCTTAAAGGCTAGGCTTTAATGAACCATGGAGGTCAGTGTGTATATATTCCAAGCTCAGGAACATACTGTAATTCAAAAATACAAGTAAACACAACTGATTCAGTTAGTCCTCAAAACTATTTTAACTATTCAACCACATCACAAGAACAGCATTTAAAGAATGAATGTTGAGAACAAACCGAAACATCATAGCAGAGAAACTTCCTAACCAGAAGGATCATAAAGTTAGTTTGGTAGGAATGGGATATAAAAATTGATCAATCATCTTTTCCAGACTTATTTCTAAGTTTTATACAGCTAGTGACATAAGTCCCTCCCCTACTTTGAGAAAACAATACCACTGGCACGAGCAGTTTGATCAGAAAATTTATACTGTCAGTCTTGTTCCTCACCTATACATGCTAATATATGCCCTGAGCCCCATCTTTTTTGAAAAAAGGAGGGCTTTAAAAATGTTGATAAAAATAGTTTAATTAATTAAAGTTATATTAGAATCATAGAATAATGGAAGGGGCAGAAGGCCATCGGGTCCAACCCACTGTTTTATTGCAGGATGCTAAGTTACATCAGCCCACTCAGTTGACAGTCCACACTTTTCGAATGTCTCCAGCAAGAGAGAGCCCACAACTTCCCCAGGTAATAGGTTTCATTGTCATACTGCTCTGATAGCGAGGAAATTCTTCCTGGTGTCTAGTCTAAATCTGGTTTCTTTTAACTTAAGTTCATTATTCCATGTCCAGAACTCTGGAGTAAATAAGAAGAGAGCTTGCCTTTCCTCTTTGTGACAACCTTTCAGGTACTTGTAGTGTTATCATACCAACCCTCAGCTTTCTCAAGGCTGAACATGCCTAGTTCTTGCAATCTTTCCTCACAGAGCTTTGCCTCCAGTCCCTGAATCATCCTTGTTGCCACCCTCTGTACTCTTTCTAGCATTTCTGCATCTTTTTAAAACTTAGGTGCCCTTTAAAAAAAAAAAAAAAATCACCTGGATTCTAAATCCAATGGGGTTCTCCCAGAGAGGTTCAGATCCTTTTCCTGATACCAGAACTGTCAGAGATTGTGAACACAATACACCGGGGGGGGGGGGAGGGTACAATCAAATTACTATTCAGACATACAGAAAATGCATGCAGCATGCAGATGGCCCAGAAAGGTATGAAGGAGGAGGATTCCGCACAGAATGATTTCATAATATAGTAGTCATTAAGGTAGTTTGTAAGAGGCATGTGTTAATAAAAACAAAGAGCTGGATGGATTAAACCAAGGAACAAAGAGAGACAGAGAGGGCGGCTCAGGGCAGACATGCATTGGCATGTGTAGATAAGTTAAAGACTGACAATCCAAGTTTCCTGATCAGATCAGGATCCCATTTTAATGTTTAAAACTGTTCATGTCACTTTCGGGCTTTCTGCTGCCATACAATGGCAGAGCTTTGGCTCATTTAGTCCTGACACCACCTTACAAAACAGAATCCTCTGAGTACTCTAACCTCTAAAAATCCATATATTAGCCTCAAACTCACAAAAATAGCATTTAGGGAACACCCCCCCCCATGCTGAATGCCATAATCAAGTCCCTGGACAGCTCCCACGTCTAAATACACGTCACACCGCTCGCAGGGTCCTCCCTTAATTAGTCCAACGTCTGCCAGCTCCGCACTAACCCGAAATAAACCCTGAAGCTCGAGTAGCCGGCACATCCAGCCATCCCAAGACCCCGGGTGCAGGAATACCCCGAGGTGCAGTTCCCGCCGCTCAACGAGTGGGTGGATGGATGCCCGCCCTGCAGTCCTCATTTTTACCAATTTGTCCTCTCTTCCAAGTGCACGTAACCTCTGGCCAAATCTACCTCCCATTTCCCCCTCTAACACCCAACAAAATCATGCGCATTTGCGAGAGTAAGTCTCGCAGAACAAGGAGGCATTTACTTCCGAGTAAACTTGAGAGGGTGGGGCTGACAAGAGCGTTTATTCCTCCTGCAGCCTTGTCGCTTCTCGAGATCAGAACCCCCCATTATCCAAAGCCCCAGGCGAACCCAAAATCCACGCGGCCTTGCCCTTCCTCTCCCGGCCGCCCAGACCCACTAGCTACCCAGGAGACCTTTTAGGCCCTATGCTTAGGTCGCCAGCCAGCCGCGCCCCCTCGGCCTCCGCGGGCGGAGGGTCCCACTCCGTACCTGCGCCTCCTCCGCCTGCTCCCAAGGCGGCTGCCATGGCGCCGGGTCCTGCGAGGACGCGGTGAGAGACCCGCGACCTTCTTGCCTCTCACAACTGCGGTGGGTTGTTATTGTCGGTGGGTGAATTACCCGCCGCCTATCACAAAACTAGCACAACATGGCGGCCAGCGGCTGAGGGAAAAGGGAGAGAGACGAAAGCCTTGCGGAGAGAGAAGACGCTAATAGCGTCGCGTTGCAGTCTGGGATACCGGAGGACCAATTCTACTCTTTTGCTTCCCACCCCTGCCGCAACTCTGACGGAAGAGGATGGCCTCCGCTGGTTGGTTAACTCGTAGTACGAGGAGAAAAGGCGGCTTCGCGCGCGCCTGCGCAGAAGTGGAAATACGGAGAAAACAGTAGAGGGGCGTGGAGTGCTGATGCGAGGAGTTTCTGGCGCTTGCGCACAGGAAAAGAAAATGGGACCTTCTTCCTCTTCATCTCTATGATCCTATTAACAAACAGCTCTGCGGCCATGCGCTTGCGTGCAGACTAAGGAAGTAGTGGAGCGTGAATTCTCAGTACCGGAGGGAAGTCGCGCATGCGTAGAAGGTTGTTTTGTATGGGTGTTTGCTTCTCTGGCTGGATTTTCTTTTCCCAGCGGGACAGATCGCGATAATCCAAATTAATCTGTGCTGCTGCCGCTGCCGCTGCCGCACGGCGTTTCCTGGTGATGAAACATGGATAAAGAGTTGGCATATAAAGCCTTTATTGCTTTCTACTCCCTTTCTTGTCTCAGTACATTAATATTTTCCTCCTTTATAACCTATTATTATTATTTACTAAGTACTGCTTATAATTAAGTGTTGTTAATAATTGTATTATCTGGTATTGTTAACAATTATTATTAACCATAATAATTATTAATAATTATTATATTATATATTAGTCATTAATTACTGTTAGTAAGCAGTGGTGAGAGGGCACCACATTGCCAGGGCAACATCCAGGGATGGAAGCCTGAATTGCTTGTCTAAGATCCGTAAGGGGAGGGAGTCCTCAATGCAATTCCTCCCTGTTTTAGGAGGTTCTGACTTGTTTGGGCTAAATGCGCTTATGAATCCACCCTGGCGGGGGCAGGAAGAAAACAGACAATGCCTACATTCTTAATAGCACGATTCTAAAGCATCAGTGAAGCTAATGGGTGGCTTCTTCTGCCCCTTGGTTCTGACACCTGAAGAGGCTTTGCACAGCTGGGGCAGAGCTGCCATTTGGTTGGCCCAACAGGATTGCCGCTTTGTGGCTGGCAGTGGTGGCTCAGGAAAGGGCCGTGCCCAGCTTTGCTACCTGACCAAGGGCTCTTACGTCAGGCTCCCCCGACCTCGTGCCGTCCAGATGTGTTGGATAAAAGCTTCCAGAATCCCCCAGCTAGCATATGGCTCACAAATTCTGGGAGTTATAGCAAAACACAGTTCTGACATTACATTTACAGCCTACCTTTTCCCCCTTGTGGGGAATTCAGGGCAGCTTACATGACTCCGTGTTATCCTCACTACAGCCATCCTGTGCCGTAGGAGTGGAAGCCGGGCCTCCCGTGGCCCCAGCCCAACACTGACCATCACAGTATTCAGGTTCTCATCTGATGGATGCCAAACTGAGTGAGGCTGACAAGTGGCTGTCATGAGATTCATTGTATTCACCCATGTGCTGTTCCTCCTGGTAGTAAAGAGTCTTCATTGCACATATTTTGCCCCATTCCAGTCCCCACTTAGCTGCTTCCTTGTTGCCATCACCCCCTAGCAGGAAAGGAACAGCTCTGTCTCCACACTGGCAGCCCTTCCCTCAGTTCTAACACTGCAGGAGAAAACTGTGTCACTCTATAGACTCTGCAGTGCTAGATCTCCATAGAAACACCCACTAGTGTTACGCTTTAGGTATATTAAGTGCGAGACACCATATGAAGCTGCCTGGTTATGTGGACCTCGCCTGCTCCACAGCTGTACCAAAGCAGCATCTAAAGTAGACTTGGGCAGCTAGTGATGTTCCGGATATTTTGGCCTGCAAGCCGCTGCAGTGCTGGCCAGCGTTAGCCAATAGTGAGGTGGCTGGACTGAGACCCAGGTTCTGCCCATGAAGCTCAGTGGCCGGCTGGGCCAGTCACCGACTCTCAGCCCAACCTGCTTCTCCAGGTGGTTGTGAGAATCAGATGGAGAGGAAGAGGATCGTGTGTACAGCCTCAGGAAAAAAGCTGAGATACGTATAACGTAATAACAATAACATGATGCAAGGTTTAATTCAAAACATTTGGAGTGCCATATATTGCCTCGCCTAAAGGGAAACGTTTACTAAGAAGGCCTCGTTCCTTGGCACGTCAAAGGGAGGGGGGGTTCAGAGTTTGGTAATGTGTAGGTAAAGTGTGTTGATTCTCACCAGTGGTGCCAAATGAATTTATATCAATATACTGTACTTCCTGACAGTTAGAGAATTTGTATCCCAAGGCTTATGCGAATGGGACGACATACAAAAACTCCAAATAAATAAATAAATATCCACATTTTCTGACATTGCATTGTTCCTTTTTGCAGTTTACCAATACGCTGTCCTGAAACAAAAAGTTCGGTGAGCAACTCACAGAATCATATACTTGGTTTGAAGATTTCAGATGTAATATTTTTCTGCATCATTCTGCTGAATGGCATCTGCATGTTTCAGAGAGTCATCCTGGCTAATGGGCAGGGTAGAAATTTAATAAATACTGTATGTGGCAACTTGCAATTCAATGGTGGTAGAGTGAGCCCAGACTTCTGTGGGCATGTGAAAAATTCAAAGCAGCTTCTCCTTGGGCTGTTTTGATTATCTTGCCAAGCCATCCTGCCTCATTTGCCAGCCACTCCACATTAAGCTTCACACCTTGTTTTCAATTATATGTTCCTTTCCACAAGCAAGTTCAGTAACCCCATCCCCTTGAATCCTGCACTGCTGTCCCAGGGAGCCAATACACATGCCTCATCCAATATAAAGCCCCATTTTTGAAGAGCTATCTTGAATAACCAATTAATGACTTCATTGTACATTGTAGTAGGATTTAATTAAGCGATAAGGTCCATCATAGTGGGGTCTTTTATCTCTGAGATAAGAATTTGTCAGGCTTACCCCAGGAGGTCTTTATCTGAAAGATAAGGGAAAGGTACATCGGTGCCTCCATGTTAGTTTAAATCCTTTAATTAAAAATACCTTTTCAAAATAGTTATAGGTTGTCATTGTTGTCTTTGCCCCTGCACTTGAGACATGCAAAACAAGTGCAGTGATCCTTCTGCTGGACCAACATCAGTTGATGAAAGAGAATGCAGATTTCTGTGCAACTGCCCAGCTTGATCCAGTAGCTTATGCTTTAGCTGTTGTCATGGGGCCATCCAGTTGTCTCCAACTTCGGGCAACACCTGCCCTTGACCACCCTACTCAGCTTCCGTCAACTCAAGGCTGTGGCTTCCTTTATGTGATTGATCCGTCTCATATTTGCTCTTCCTCTCCTGTCTTCAGCTTTCCTTAGCACTATTGTCTTCTCAAACGGGTCTTTGCCTTCTCATGATGTAGCCAAAATGCAGCAGCTTCAGCTCTGCCATTTTTGTTTCCAGGGAAAGTTCTGGTGTAATTTGTTTTGTCTTCCTAAATGCTGCTCCTAAGAGCATTTATATTATTTTCATATGTTATATGCTTTTGTAAACCAGCCATAGACCTTCAGCTCTTGGGCAATATAGCAATAAACTGACATTTACACGCATACACGGAGCTTTCTTATGAAGAGATATTGCAAAGACACAGTGGTCCTAATGCTGCTAAGGTTAAGTGCAACCCTGTGTTTCTTCAGAAAAAGTCCTACTGGACTCAGTCCCAGATACGCATAGTAAGGACCAGCCTGCAAATTCCACTAAAACCAACTGTTCCAAAGGGTGGCATTTTTCATGCCTACCATTGGTTTCACTGAGACTTCATCATGATCTGCTTTAGCTGGATTAAGGCCCTTAAGTCTCCAGCACATTCTGCCATTCCAGGGGAACAACCCCTGTAGAAAAGACCCTACCCCACCTCTGAATTTTCGATCACTCCCAGAAGTAGGGAGACTTCACTTGCTGTTTACTGAGCAAAAAGAAGGCTTGAATTGCGCTTGGTTCTCCATTTACCAATTGTTGCACATCAGTTTGTCTATCCACATTTTTTTGTGCAAGAACGTTCTTGAAACTTGGGATATGATAATGGAATTTGGTATATCCATTAGGTCACAGGTCTACATCCTTGGATTGAATACTGGCCTATTTTTAAAGCAAGCAAGGGTTGCATAATGCAAAACACAGTGGAATATCTCCCATGAAGACTGAGAAACCAAAATGCGAGATTTTTAAAGGATCTATTCCCTTGTAAATATAGAACATGCAGGAGACTTACGGGCTTTAATCCAGAAAAAAGAGAACTTCAAGAACATTACCTGAAGTGCCTGATCCTGCCTAATCTTGGAAGCTAAGCAGGGTCAGGCCCGGGCAGAAGTGGGATGGGTGACTTGAGTGTATGATTTATGATTATTGCTGTCAACTGCCTAGAGAGCTTTGGCTATGGGCAGTATAAAAATGTAATAATAATAATAATATTTCCAGAATAAAACCCAGCTTGATTCTCGTGTCTTTTCAAGGGAAGAACAGCTAATATTCTTCTTATTAAAACAAAATGTCAAGTACATAATCCAACCAGATGCTGAGAGGATGAAAGGAGGTTAGCCTTTAAGACATCATTATATTGTTCAAACCCAAATTTGATCGCCATACACATTTCCAGGTGGACTACAAGTCTCGCTGATGGGGTGCTTTCTAGCTCTGAGCTAAGCCATTTTGGTGCCTAAAACAGGGACGTGTTCCCTTCCCCTGCCTCTGTTCCATGCACAGAAGCTAGCGCTTAACTCTTATCTCCATACCAGGAAGGGGGCAATCTTCCACCACACCTGAAGGCAACCGGCTCGCTCAGAAGACCAGGCTGGGTGGCACACACAAGTCTGTCCTCCGACACTTCCTGTCTGCCATCATCTGCCGCCTGAGGTGGCTGGTTCTCTCTGTCTAATGGCAGGGCTGGCCCTGCAGTCCTAGCAGAAACAGGATCTATGTTTCCTGATGTAATGTGCCTGTGAGGTGAATATTTTAAAACAGTTTTGTAGTCCATGATTTACATGTTCCTTTGAAG